CAGCTGGGAGCCCAATGTGGGACTTGATCCCAGGACCTGGCAATCATGACCCAAGCCAAAGGCAGAGCTCAATCATCTGAGCCACCCAGGCGCTCCAGTATGTTGAATTTTTTTAAAGACTGTTGTTTTCTTCGAAATACAGAGAAGATTTCTATCTCTTTTTCAAGACAAGGCTCCAGAGGGTGAGAAAGTTATGGTCAGTATGTTTTTCCTTTACAAGTGGTATGGAGGCTGATTTATTAACACCAGTATTAGGGTTGGTCACTATCTGCAGGTGTACCTTCAAACTACGTATTTTCCAATGTCTCGTACTACAAATCTCTCAGTATTCTGGGAAGAGATAATTCACCTGTTCAACAATCTTCCCTATTAAGCATCGATGTGCCATGGACCGTGCAAATGTTTCAGGAGAGTTATCTGCACGAAGTTTGGTTACGGTGATCCCCGGGATGGTGAGGCGGTTCCTTTCAGGGTGTGGATAGGGCTATCAAGGGCCCAGTTTGGATTAAAATGATACCATCTAACTGAATCATAGCAATGCCAAGGGCATGCATTTTAACAGATAGGCCTTAGTTAGTCATTCCAAGATCTCAGTATCTAGAAACTTGCAACTATTTTGTGATACCACAGACTTGAGATATTCTTCAAAGTCTCAGACTATGGATTTGTGAGACTCCTTCCTGTACTGTTGTAATTTTGCTTCTTTTCCAGGCATATTTTGTTTTTAAAACATTTAGCACTCATCTGGGCTACATTTCTATGCAATCCATATTTCTCTGCATGGAAAATATGCTTATCCTGAAAATCATGTAAATCGTAAGTTATAAGAATGGACTCTTATTTGTATCTGAGAAAATGGATTCCTTCCATCCTTCAAGATTATTATTCATGAGATTCTCTACAGTGTAGAGTATTGTTCCAGATTCTAGAGTCTGAGGAGGTAGCATTAAAATGGGACTTTGGAAGCAGGGATTCAACATTTTGCTCTATCGTTAAGTCGTTCTGTGATTTGAGGTTAATTTCTTTACTTCTGTAAGATTTAGTTTATTTGTAAAATTAGGAGCTTGGACTTTACAAGATTAATTCTAAGCTCTTTTCCCGCTCTGAAATTCTATGATATTATGATTTAAATATTTGCGTATATGGGGCAGGCAGCTAACCCTCTATGAAGTACATACCTCTGACACATGAGGTCCTAAGTGATGTAACCTGATTTTGCAAGTATCTTTGATGAGCAAGTGGTGGGAGAAATACAGAAAGACACTGGCAACCTATAGGTTACAGACCATCTTTCTGTGACTTTCATCTCACCTTTCCCTCGTTTTCTATTCAAAACAAGTTTTATCACAATTTGCAGCTGAGTAGAATCAAAGCAGGACATAAAAATCAATCCATGTTTATTCTGTTTTCATAGATCATTTAAAATTACCAAATGATGTGCCAAGGATCTGTAATTGGTCCCGGCGTGTCATTTGTGGGCTCAAATGAGGAGACTGTATGTCCAGAGAAGTGAGAATACCATTTCATTACTCCAGGCAGGTGAAGTCTGTGCAGACAGGAAGAGACAAGCTCATAATCCACAGTGAGGCCCGGGCAGTGGGGAGGGCAGGAGAGTGACAGATGGAGCAGATAGGAAGGGACAGGCAGATCGGGGCAACGAGGACTCGAGAGGCTGGGAACACATCTGCACTGGGAAAGAATCATGGGAATGTAGGCCCTGGGAGCTTCAACAGTGATCCTTGATCAGGATGATGGTTAGGTGGCTCTGTCAGCTGCTAATTTCATGTTTTCTCTTTTTTGCCATTAGTCACAAAATCAATCAGTTGCATTAAGAGCCAGTATCAGTCATAAAACAACACATTAACTGTTATTTTCCCTGCACAACATTTATTATTGTTGTTTTCCCTTAATGCCAGTTATTATAAATACATTGCAAAAATTTAGAATAATATGCAGGATTATAAGACAAAGACTCACAAGGGCTGATCGTAACCCGTGCACTCTTTTCAATCGTCATTTATTAATTTATATGATGCTTCAGAGTGATCAAATCCCCTCACCAAAATCAAAGATTAAGGACAGCCAAACTACGCTTAAAATATCTAAAGAAATATGTTGTTTACTTCATTCTTCCCAGGTGCCTGCCAAAAAGTGCCTGGATATTCAAAGAGATGGAGAATCAGGTAGCTTCTTGGCTGTATAAGTCACCAGTGAAACCTGCCTACATTTCTGAGAGTTCTTCCTAAAAATGACCCATTACAAGCAGCTCCACCTAGGCTCAAATGGGCGACCTGCTGTTTTAATGTGGTGTTTCCTAGCTGGAGCTGTAGAAACGCATCAGAAAGGGCGCTCACACTTAAATGTTCAGTGGATTTTCAATCAAAGTTCCAAAGTCATTCAGCAGGAAAATATCACCTTTTCAAAAATAGTGCTGGAACAAATAAATAAATGCAGGGGGAAGAAAGAGACTCCAACCCTTATCCCACCCCATATACCAAGGTTAACCCCAAATGGGCTATAAAGTTAAATGTAAGAGCTAAAATTATTTAAGAAAGCTTAAACGAAAATCTTTATAATACTGGATTAGACAAAGATTTCCTAACCAGAACCCAAACCCCACATAAAACAAAAATTGAAAAATGGACTAGATCAGGGGCACCTGGGTGGCTCAGTCAGTTAAGCATCTGCCTTAGGCTCAGTTCATGATCCCAGGGTTCTGGGATGGAGTCCCACTTTGGGCTCCCTGTTTAGCTGGGAGCCTGCTTCTCCCTCTCCCTCTGCCACTCACCTTGCTTGTGCTCTCTCTCTCTCTGTCAAATAAGTAAATAAAATCTTTCAAAAAAAGAATTATAAGAAAAATGGACTAGATTGAATTAAAGATGTTTTCTTTTTGAAATATCTATGTCAACAAAGAGCCGATAGCCAAAAAAATAAGCAAAAAACCTCATCCAGAGCATATAAAGAACTCTTACTCAAAGATAAAAAAAATTTAAATGGGCAAAGGATTTGAAGAGATACTTCACAAAAGTGGCCAATTACATCACAACCCATGACAAAGGATGACCAACACCAGCAGTTGTCAGGGAAATGCCATTGAAAACACTGCACTGCCTATGATTTATCTTATAGCAAGGCCTGCCTTTAAGAAATTAACATTACACTGAAGCCTTCTACTTCCATAATTTGGGAAAATAAGCATTCTATGGTTATTGAGAAGCAGCAAGCAATAGTGAAGAGATCTAGAAGTAATTGGGTTCTGAGTACTTTGTCATAGAGCTCAGTATCTGCATGGAAATATAATAAAAGGGCCGAAGAAGGGTATCCAATGGCATTTCAGACATGAGTAGTCATCATAACTTCATACTCTCTCCGTGGCATTTCACCTGCCAAAGATCTCCTTGGGGCCAGATTCCATTCTCAGGTAGGTCATAGTTTGGACTCTTCTGTGTCACATAATTGTATTATCTCTACTATCACAAAGTGAATCCCTTTGACACTCAGTGAAAATATAATTTACTTTATATTGTAAAGACATCTCTCAGGATTTCCAGCCTAAGGTCACTTTTTCTTGGAATGAAACAGACAGCTTTATCATTTGGCAATCCTAGTAGCAAAAGTGTTGAGACTATTATTTACTTTTAAAAAGAGATTTTAAAAAAAAGTGCCACTTCTGGTTTTAAGGGAGTAGCTTGCATCAGAGCAAACTTCCTGTCTTGAAACAAGCAATAAACACTGGATACAATAAAAAAAAAAAGAATCAATAAATGAAAATGGCTATTTAAAAGCACCGGGAAAAAAAAAATAAAAACATTGGAAGGTAACCAAGGCAACCAGAAATAAGAAAGAAAAAAATACAACACTGAGGTAAGGTCTTCTTCCTCTGCAACTTTTGCCCCTTGAGGCACTTGCTGATGAACAGGTTTGAAGGTAAAAATCTAAATAAAAGAGGCTTAAAGCTTGTTGTAATATCACCTGGCTAGTGATGTAAAATACCCAGGAACTCCTGACTTCACCAGCAAGGTCCTGAAGAAAAGGGAACCACGGAGAAGTGAAGCCATCTTTCTAGCTGGCTTTTGCCCTCATAACATTTTATAAAATGAGTAAGGATCCTACTCTGAAGGACCTCAGCTTGTTTTCTGTGGAAATACCTGGAGCTTCCCAACTCTTTGTTCAGAATTAGCCTCCAGAAACCACCACAGGGGGAAATTTCCAGTACAAGCCCTTCCCTTTTTTGTGTGAGTAGTTTAAGGTGAACTAATCCATCATGGAAACAACAATAAAAGAAACCCAAGAGTCTTGAGACCAACATCTGATGAAGAAAGGATTAAATGTACAAAGACGGAAGAACAATGAATTTAGAGGAGTGAGGGGCTGGCTGCACTGGTTCTCATGTTTTTTTTCTGGAAACTGGTTCCTGGGTATCTGGTTGTAGAGACCACTAAAGGTCTCATAGCACCTCACCCTCTCACCAAAGTGACTTTAGGGTAGGAGTCAGCAAACTTTTTCTGTTGAAACTGGGTAGTCAATATTTTCAGTTTTTTGGGTCATCTAGTCTCTGTTGCCGCTAGTCCGCTCTGCTGTTGTCGAAGGAACGCAGCCAGAGACAAAACGTAAATAATGAAAACGGCTGTGTTCCAACACAATTTTATTTACGGACACTGAAATTTAAACAAATTTCATCTCATTTTCATGCATCATGAATTACTATTTTCTTCTGATATATATTTTTTTCACCATTTAAAATCTAAAAAACAAGGTGATGAGGATTAAGGAGAGCACTTGCTGTGATGAGCGCCTGGTGTTGAATGGAAGTGTTGAATCAGTAGATTGTGCACCTGAAACTGATATTACACTGTGCATTAGCCAACTGGAATTTAAATAAAAAATTTAAAAAATAAACAAAATATTTAAAAAATCCCCACTTTTCAGTCATAGGCTGTACGAACACAGGTGATGGGTGCATTGGACCCCTGGCTATGGTTTTCTGATCTCTGTCTTAGGGTTCAAGTCCTCCTTTGATATTCAGGATCCTCAGCAGTTTTGGTACTCTTTCTCTGTAATGAAGGCATTACGGTCATATGGAATTTTGGGGGAATACTCTGAGGACAATCTGTTCCTAGAATCGACTTCAGCTGCTAAATAGCCACATCATCAAGGAAGAGAAGATGGCTTGTTAGTTTCTTGGTTATTCTCAGTGGAGGCTCCAGAAATAACTTGCTTGATTTTTCTCCTTCTTCAGAGTAACAGGCTCGAAACATGAATGAGAAATCATTCAATGTGACATGCTTTACTGTCAAGAAGGTAATGTGGAGTGAGACATAATTTATGTTTTTGTCGTTGAAATTTTACATTTGTTAATGAATGGCTTCTATTTATGAACAGGTATAAGACCACTAGATTCCTGCACATGTGCCGGGGGGCCATCAGTAAGGAGGCGAGTGACTGGCTGTCTGGCTGAAGCAGCATTAAACATAATGACACGTATCTTTTCTTTATGAGTCGAGCCAGGAACAGTCTGATAAATGCGAAAAAAAAGAAAGGCAAAATGGCAGTAAGATAATAAGGGCATAGGATAGTACGCATCCAATTGTAAGATTGTTGTAGTTCAGAGATTTATACTCAAGTGAAAAAAAAAAAACCCAACCAGAAATCTATCCCTAAGATTATAATAAGTTTACGCAAATCTTTTTAATGCAAATGAGAAAGTGTTAGAAATGAATTTTAGGTGGACATAAGGATACCCCATTCCAAGGCAAGTTTCCAGTTTTGGAAAAGAAAATCAAACCTGATGTTTATAGCAAATTTGGGAAATGGTTTTCTCACCGCTATCAAAAAAGGGCCTCCTGTTTTTCCCTGAGAGAGTACTTTTAAAAAAGGCCTTAAGTCTGCGGAATTTCGCTGACATAGAGAAAGGTTAAGGCGGAACATACTAAGACAACAGTAAGAGGTTGCTTCAGAGAGGGTGTCTTTGGCAAGAAATGGAGTATTTGAGTGAAAAGATTCACAGTACTGGCTCTCAAATCACGGTAGAGTTGTCCTAGTCCAGCAGCAAGTGGGAGTTTTGCAAAGGCCATTAACTGAAGGGACCAGTAGATGGCATAAATAAGTCAGGATAGACTCAGAGGCTCAAGGAAAGGAAAAGAACATTCTGGCAGCTCCTTACTTTTATGTCTAATGCTTCTGTCTGAGCTGGACTATTTGCCTCTCTGATCCTAGCGCTCTGAGCTATTGTTGCGACTTTAGTTCACATTCAAGAACGGTCCCACAAACACGTCCTGAGGTACTTAGGACCTAAGCTCAATGAACTGACGAGATCAAGAGAATTATATTTACCAGCATTATTTTCCTATACCCCCATGCTCTTTTTCCTTTCTAACCCCTTCTTTTCCTTCTTCCTCTGTCCCTCCCTTCCTTTATGCCTCAGGAGCAAATAGGTGAGCCCCTTATACTCTGCTCACGATCACCACCTGTTGTAAAACCCTCTCATTTTTAAACCTTTTCCCCTCTCTTCCTGGACTTCCGAACAGGTGTCCCCCGTAGGCATTCATGTGCATGTATTTGATATCTACTCTTGAAAGTGTATGTACACGGGTGACATATGTAGTGTTTTGTACATGTTTATATTCATAATTTTCACAAATGGCATTATTTGTTGATTTTTTCTTCTTCATTTTTTCACTGAACACTAGGTTTCTGAGAAATGTTCGAGTTGCTGTTACTTCTAATTGCTAGCTATGATTATTCCATGGTATGCACGTACTACATTTTGATTGGTTATTCCTTTTGTGATGGACAAAGCTGGGCCTCGATTATTTAGGGGTTATCTTTGTTAGCTTTCCTTACTTAGCACATAGTCAGACTTTAGGAAAAAACTACATTTTGTCAAATGGCTTCTAAAAATGTGATAAACAGTGAATCAGACTGAGAAAGCAAGCTGTGTGTTTTAGAAAAGAGTTCTGAGGTCAGCACAGATCTGCTCTGCTCCTTTAAGGCTACTATTAGAAGGACTTTCTGATTCTCATTATTCCTAATTTTTACATTTTTTACTAAGCATAAGGAGGAAAATCAAGGAGATATTTATGTTCATTCCATTCTTAAATTTATTTTCTCTTGTTCTAACAGTGGAATTTGAAGAGAGAACAAAAGCGAGAATGTTATAAAATTAAAATAACTGGTTAGTGTTTTATAACTAACAGCACAACTATTTCTCACCTGACTCCTCTCTACATACATAATACTTTTTATGGAAAATGTGTATGTGCTCTGCAACATTAAACACCAGTAAAATATTTATGCCAGATAGATGGGCAATATGGTAGAGTGGAAAGACGGGATTTTTTGGTATAGACCAGGAGTGTCAAACTTTTTCTATAAAGGCTGCTATGGATGAATTGTGTCTTCTCAAAATTTGTGTTGAAGCCCTAGCTCCCCATGTGACTATATTAAAGATGAGGTATTTAAGAAGGCTATTAAAGTTAAATGAGGCCGTAAGAACAGAGCCCTGATCCACCAGAATTGGCGCCTTTATAAGAAAAGGAGGAGACAATAGAGCTCTCTCTCAACCATGTGAGGACACGGCAGGAAGGCAGCCTTCTGCAAGCCAGGTTAAGGCTCTCACCAGAACCTGACCTGCTGCCACCCTGACCTCAGCCTTCCAGCCTCCAGAACTGTGAGAAAGGAAATTTCTGTTGTTTAAAACACCCACTCTATGGTATTCTGTTATGGCAGCCTGAGCTGACTTATGCAAATGCCCAGATAATCAATATTTTAGGCTTGTGCGCCAGGACCAGCTTACAAAGCTTATCCTGGAATGCCTTTCTAAGAAGGTAACAGTTGACTGGGAAATCAATAATGAGCGGGATCCAGTTATGCAAAATTCAAGGTGTTCTTGGCAGAGCAAACAGTAAGTGTGAAGTTCTCAAGGTGGTGGAGGTGGTATCCAGCTGGTGGTGGGTAAGGTGTGCTCAGGACCACAATGGACCCAGTGTGTCTGGTTTAGAGTGTGAAAGTATGAGACATGGAAAAAGGAAGGAGAACGAGGAGGGTAAAGTCCTGGCGAGAAGATGGAAAGAAACTTGGATTTTCTCATAAGGGTTGTAGGAAGATTTTGAGTGTGTGCATCTCTGTTCTGTGTTTAACTTCGTGTTTCTTTTGGACACTTTGAAACCTAGAAGTAATTTAATCTGATTTATTTATTTATTTATTTTTTTAAAAGTCCCTTTGACTATTAAATGGAATAGAACGTGGATGCCCAGTTGGGAGTCATTTATAAACCTGCAACATTGGTGCTGGAAAGAGTGGGTAGATTTCAGGTCTTATTTCCATGTGGAATCATCAGGATTTGTGGATGGGTTACAAATGGAAAGCAAGAGAAAGACAGGATGATGCACCGTGTTTTGGTTTCAACAACTCTAAGAAGTATGGTGCAATTCACTAAGATGGAAAAAATAGCGAAAGAATAGTCTTTTCCTAAATGGTGGGAGGCAAGAGTTTATTTTGGGAATGTTGCATATGGGATGTTATTAGAAATGCATAGAAATACCGAGTAGGTAGTTATATGTACAAATCCACATCTCAGTTGAGAGGGTGGGTTGGCATGTGGTCTTCAGCATAGAGTTGCAAGAAAAGCCATGGGACTGAAAGAAAGAGCCCAGGGCATCAGAGAGCAGAGAAAGGAAAAGGGGGGGGAGCCTCAGAACTGAGCTTTGGGAACTTTAGAGGCGGAGCAGAGGAGAAGGAGCCATCAAAGGGCACCAAGTAGAAGCTTCTGGGAAAGTAGGAAGAACATTTACCTAAGGATAGCAGTTATTATAGAAATGAAGATCAGAGAGGATTTCAAGAAGCAAAGAGAGGTTAGTTGTTTCGAGGATTAGAGGTTACGAAGGATGAAGACTGAGCATGACCACGGGTTTGTCAATGGTGGTTGTCTATGGAACTGACAAGAGCAGTTTCTCTTCTAACAGGAGGGGAGAGAAGCCCTAATGGACAGCATTGAGGAGAGAATAAGGATATGGATTTGGAGGTTCAGAAGGAAGATAGCACAAGCATTGAACTTGCCTCATGAGACATGAGACTGAAGCTAATCTCTGCCGCTTTTACTAATTGAACGATCTGGGAAAAATCATTTAATTTCTTTGAATCTCATGGTGTTTCTCTGTAAACTGAGTGTAAAACAGCACACACAGGTTTGTCATGAGGATTAAATGAAATAAAGCAAGAAAGTGCATAATGCACACGATAGGCACTTTACAAGTACCACTGACTTTTTCCTCTCACATTCTAGTCGTTCAATCTACCCTCTTCTTCAGGAAACGAAGGTCTCCAATGTAGATAGTCACAGCTGGCTTTTCCAAGCGCCAGGGAACTCTGGTGTTGTGAATACAAAAACTCCTAAAAAAAAAAAAAAGATTCTGCTGCTCTGGTTTCCTTACCTGTGGATGATGTGCACTAAGCATAAAGACCTCCATCTCGGTTCCTGGAGGTCACCCATATGGGAGAGCAAGAGGATGTTTGCACCAGATCCTGAAAACGCTCCTTGGGATCTGTCAAATGTTTCTGATCTGAGGTCCATCCATATCTAAGGTGTACGTGCCTAGGAACTGAGTGATGATAGAACATTTATAAGCCAAAGATGATATATTTTTTCCCAGAAAAGCAAGATTTGGTGCCGAGAGGTTCTAGGAGCCCCGTTGTGTGTTCCTATTTAATTGCATTGCACGTGTGCTTATGCCCATAATAGAAAAATGGGCTGAAGGAGCCGGTGAGTGGTTTCCCTCAGTCTTCAACAGTATTTCTTCCCCCCAGGATATTCAGTTTCATAGCAGGCCACGCTGGTACCCACAATCAAAGGAAAGTGAGTTATTCCAACTGGGAGACTTGCCACATTCAATTTACCTTCTTTTAAACATGTGTCCTTATTTCTGTCTACTTCTCCACCCCTGCACCTGTCACTATAAAAAAAATAGTCTCCTTAAGCTTCATAATTAAAAAATGCTTTACTGATTAAAATATTTGTTTATGTAATAATGATAATAATAACTAATTACATCCAGCTTGATGAGTTTTATATCATGTTTCAGCCAAGTAGGGCTCAAAACAGCTGAGCTATTAAATCCTGATAAATGATAATGGAAAAGACTGCTC